GTACCGTTCCATTCCTGTCAAATTTCAAAAAATCTTCTACCGCTCCCGTGTTTTTCATATATTTCCGTTAGCACTTGTTTTCCGCGACCAGAGTGGCAGATATTTTTGACTATAGGGTCCTGGGAAAGTTGCACCAGCATCATACTGGTGCATGCCATGGCAGAATTTCAGAATAGAAAAATACGCAGGACTTTATTTAATGTGCGGTTAGACGCTGTTAGAGACAGTTAAGTTATCTGTGACAAAGCTTTCCAGTGAGTGTCATGCCCCGATCGTCTGCTCCTTCTGTGTGCCAAGCCCCCTCGTTAACCCTGTGTGGATTCCCCGTGTTTACCAGCTGTTCCTGATTATTGTCAAACTTGTCATTAGTCCATTGTATTTAGTCAGTGTTTCCGTTTGTTTCTCCAGTCCTGTTATTGTATTGTAATTCTCCTTTACCGCTAGTGTGTCTTCCTTTTGCTCATTAAACCCCGCATTTCCCCGATCCTATGTCTCCTCGCCTCTGCTTCCCCGGTCAGCGTTGTGACAGTGAACCTACTTCCATGCTTTAATGTGAACATTTGCAATGTTCCTAAAAATTCTGTTTATTGCACAGTGTCTGACCACACAGACCTATAAGAATGAGAATATGAACAACCATGGGAATTATTTTTACAGTGAAAACAATTGGTATTAGTTATATTATATGTTCTTGAGTAATCGATAAAATCAGTAGCCTATATGCAAGACATCAATCTGTAATACTGGAAAATATGTCCAGTTGATATGTCCAGTATGATCTATACTTAATATTTACTTTTTAATAATATATATAACGAACCGAATCAGGCTTAATCAAGATAGGTGATCTATCATTTTAACGATCCCCAGAATTAACCTCCTGGATCGGACAAATACAAATTAACGAATGATTAAACATTATATGCGTCTCTTTTTGTATGTTATCTAAATAAGACCGCGTGCCCATACACAACTGTAATAGCGATTAAAGCGATCTATTCTTTTAGTATTTATGTTACAGACATTTATTTTATTAGTGTTGTGGGATTAATCTTTGGAAACACTTAAATTTAATAAGCACAAAAACATATGACATAAACTTGACTGTATTTTTTGTTTTACGGCTTTTTTGGAGGTCACCGACTCCGCTGTTGTGAGAATTACTGATTCCCCCCGCTCCCTCGCGTACCCCCTACAGCCTCTTGCGTACCCCAGGGGGTACGTGTACCCTAGTTTGGGAACCGCTGCTTTAGGCTATTAAGCCCACTGATTATGTTACACCCTGCATTCCTTTCCCCTTGTTTTCTCCATTGCGTGTCTCTAATGAGCCACACCTGTTACTTGTTTAATCCTGCTTCTCGTTATAGCCCTTGTGTGGATCACCCCAGGTGCCTCTCATCTGCCCTCTCATCAGTGGTGTATATAGTGCCTTCCTGTCTTGAGCTCCCCAGTCCAGTCACTGGTGATGTTGCTTGTGTGTGTGTGCGCGCTCCCCTGCTTGTACTGTGTTCTCTCCTGATTCTCCTAACCCTGGTTTGACCCCTTGTGGTTCATTTTCTTTTGCTTTGCTTGTTGTTTTTGTTTAATTAAAGCCCCTTTTGATATTCCCCACTCCTGCCTTAATTTCTGTCCTTCCTGAGACATGTCATTATAAGATGCATGTGGATACTCCCCTGAGGGAAAAAATTAGAAATTGTCCCATTTGATAATATACTATCCCCCCTCCCTATCCCCCTAAACCAGGGGTGTCAAACTTCAGTCCTGATAGGTGGCTGATGTGACACAGGAAGGTGCACATGTAACAGACACAAAAAATAATGGATGTGTTATTGGGTGAATTATTTAAAAACAGGCAACGCTTGATTTGGGTTTCTTTGATAGAAAATGCTTCATAGTATTAGAGCACTGACACAGGCCATGCTTGGACAGCTTGCATTTGGAATCAGCTGATTTAGTGATGGAGCCATTATGTGGAGTGTCTGAAAGGACTGTCCTTAGTATTGAATTTACAGTGTGGAATACCCAGTAACACTGACCTCAGTATGTCCAGTTTGCAGCGTGTAAAACCCAGCAATGCTGACTGCAGCATCTGCCTTTCAAATCCTGGGCACTGTTTCTCTGTTAAATCTGGCAGCTCATTGTCTCTCAGGTCCAGCTCTCTCAGGTGTGAGTTTGAGCTGAGGACAGAGGCCAGTACTATGCAGGATTCCCAACTCAATTTACAGCTGTTCAGCCTGGAAAAGGAAACAGCAGAACAAGCTTTTATTTTCAATACAACAAGCAGCACAGCTTACGTTTCAAAATAAATCAAAGTGTGCGGAGTTCTGTGCCTCTCAGTAATGTGAGATGAGAGGAGAGGTGAGGGAACTTTTATTTACAGCAGTCATTTGATCATTGATTGAGTTGGTGGATCTTACCCAAATTCTTATACTATTTATTACATTGCTGTACAGTTTCAGCTGACAAATACAGTAACACAGGTCACACTATACAGAATACAGACAGGCACAAAATACACAAACGGCATAAAAATATAATATAACCAATTGAAAAGACAAAATAACATAATTCCACAGAATCATACACAAAGTAAATGTGAATCCTCCCATAACATATTCAAACAAATGAAATAGTTTCCACTGCAGTCATCAGCCACCTTTCTGCCAGCTGTCCCCAAACTGACTAGCAACTCTGAAAGGAGGAGATGTGAACATCCCCAGCAGCTAATGCAGGCCTGCCAGGCTGTGTTAGTTTTCCAGGCCAGATATTGCACGGCTTCTTTTATGTTAGTTGTCCTCATTATGAAATCAAGCAATTAATTACCAGGAAAAATTCTTTGACATTATAGGAGAGATTTTAAATCAGTGCCTGGGGAGCAGGGCTTGGGGGCGGTACCTTGCTCAGGGTACCTCAGGGGTGCTTTGCTGGTCAGGGATTTGAACCTGCAATCATTTCAACTACAAGTGCGCTTCCCTAACCATTAAGCCACCATAAAATCACATGGTCCCCACAAAAACAGCACAGTGAGTCAGTGGGCAGGACCTCCAAGGTTTGAATCCTACTGTTTCTCTGCAGTGAGGGGAGTTTTCTCCATGTTACATGTGTTTTCTCTGTGTGCTACAGTTTCCTCACACAAGTATTTATTTTGACTAATTGGTGTCTGTAAATTACCTGTGCTGTGTGTCAGTGTGTGTCCTGTGACAGACCAGCATCCCGCCTGGGTGTCACCCTCCCTTCCACCCTATACCATATGGAACAGGATCCAGCCTCCCTGTCCAGGATAAGTAATTGGAAGGTGGACATATGGTTGAATGTAAAAAGCATATTTTGTACTCACTTCATTTTCTCCAGTTTACAGCTGGGATCCTTCAGTACAGCAGAGAGCGGCTCCACTCCTGAGTCTCCTGGGTGATTGTAGCTCAGATCCAGCTCTCTCAGGTGTGAGGGGTTTGACCTCAGAGCTGAAGCCAAGGAAGAACAGCCTTCTTCTCTGATACTACAGTTGGACAGCCTATAAAAAATAAAAAGATCTTGGACAAAATCCAGGTGGCTGCCGATCTGAGTCAGCACCATGAACAGCAGTGACCCATTTAAATTGTAAGGTCTTTGTTTTGGACCAGCTATCAAAACCTTCCCCCTAATCCTGCACACCTGGCTCCTAAAAATGAGCCCAGCTGGCTCACACCTGGGAAGGTTCCCCCAGGAGCTAAAGGGAAGGTTCCCTCAGAAGCCTCTTATCAAACACCTGACCACAGCCTCCATCCTCAATGTGGTGCTGTAACGCCTGTGCTGACATGGCCAGAGTGACACCTTGACTGGGATCAGCGAGTGGCCTGGACCTCCCAGACAAAAAAGCCCTTCAGCGCCTCTCCCTTTTCTTCCATCTCTGTTCTCCCAGTTCCTGATTAAAAAAAAGCTGTCATTTGGGGGTAATATTCAGTTCCCGGGTTTGCTTGTGTGCTTCTGCTTCTACAGCTGCCACGTGCTGTTCACTGAAGCTCACCCTTTAGCCTCACTGACTGTGTAGTAACAGATATTTCAAGGTCAGTTCAAAATTAAACCATCTATTGATAGTAACCCATTGCATGAAACTTACAACAACCAAACTCCTGCATCCAAAGTCCTGCTAAAAGAAAAGCAGTGATAGCAGAGAGGATGAGGCCCTGCAGCAGAGATGTTAATGAGTCATAAAATCCAAGTCTTAGTCAAGTTTCTGAGAGACGAGTCTCAGTAAAGTGTAAAGTCTTTAAATTAGAGTCCTAGTCAATCTGAATTCTATGCTTAATATGTGTTCCAGGAGGGCTTTGTTTTTTTAAATTGTACCCAGTACAATAACTAGTAAGGGTTATAAGTGTATGAAGCACAATTATAATACCAATTAAGCACAATGACCAAATAAAAAATAATGAAAAAACACTGTTTAAAGAAACACTTTCTTTTTCACTTAAGCAGATGTTGGCACCAATGCAGAAACTGCATCACTGAGTGGCAAAGGTATAAGGTTAACAAAGCCATATGTACAGACAAAGCCCGTGTTTTGGCACCTTTCTTAGTTCCCCTTCTTCCCTGGGCTGCCCCATGGCTGAATGAGTTAAGTGGGTGGCTGATAACCAAGAATCACCTATACTGTTGTGGGTTTGTTGTTGAACATTTCGCGTTTTGTGAGCCCAGATTCTGTTTTGTATAACTTTGTTAATTGTTTTCATAGCTTGTTTATGTGCCTTTGTTAATTACCCCTGTTTGTACACAGCAAATGTGCCAGTGTTAAATTAACATAGTATGGTGTTTATATTAATGCTGTCAAACAATTAAAATTTTTAATCAGATTAATCACAAGGCTGCTGTGGATTAATTTCGATTAATCACGATTAAATATCATTCATTTTTAATCTTTATTAATCGCATTTCATTTTGCATGAGCAAACAGACTCAAGAAAAAAGGGAATATATATGCACTTAACATGTTTATTGAACATCTTGAACACGAGTCGGATGCATTCCATCTGCCACAGAAGTGCAATACCATGGATCCATATCAAAAAGCAAGATTTTTTGCTTAGCCGGACAACTTGTCGGATTTAAGGTATCTCAGTTTAAATGGTCTTTATCTTCGTTCACTTACAGTTAGCCCGAACTACCGTAAATCCGACAAATAATCCGACTAACATGAAATCCAATTCTAGCCTGGTTAATTGCCATTGTTAGCAATATCAGTTGATAACACATTATGCGCGGTTCTTTATGTATAAAACTCCGTAGCAACACGTCCACAGATAAGTTGGACGGTATAGTGTGTGCGACCAATTTAAGGAGCCACAAATGAGAAGTAGTGCTTAAACAGTATAAAACTACAACTTTCCCTTCTGTTGATAAAAGGCACAGCCATCTTGGATTCTGAAATCAGGATCCTCTGTGCTGCTCCGAGATATTTCTCGGATCTCCGAGAAACGGGAGCACGCATGTCGTCACTTCCGGCTTCAAAACTCGGAATCCGACTCGAAAATACGAGTTCCCAGGGCAAATGGAACGCACCAAAACTGCCCGAAATGGGTTGACAGAGACATTTCAGGGATTTTGAGTCATTTTGCGCTGTAGATGGGTTAATTGCGTAAACTTTTTTAATCAGATTAATCATGATGATGGATTAATCCGTGTTAACCCGTTAATTTTGACAGCCCTAAGAAAAATGGGTATACATTCCCCAGCCAGGATGCCTAATAACTGCTGCCACAGAAGTAGATTCTTTTGGGATCTTGTTGGTGGACAGCCATAAAGACAGACTAATGAAGGTTTTTGTGCACTAATAATGTAGTACTCTCCACATAAGAAACTGTAACAGGCTCAAGAGCCTTATACACACAGCCAAATAGACTTCTTAGTTCATTTCTTGTGTTAAACCTAACCCTGATCCTATAAATGATTGAACTTCCTAAACATGTGGCCGATTTCACCCACAAAACAGAGTAGGTTTACTACTGGCATGCACCAGCAGTAGTCAAGTTGCTGATATGGATCCCGGCTCCAGACTAATATCTGCAGCATTTCATTTTCAGTTGCGGTGAGTTCCTAAACATAGCTTCCAAAACTCAAGCCTAAGGAAGCTTTTTTTTTAATTTTAATAATTTTTATGACTGTCACGCAATAAAACTACCTGAGAACCCACTTCTATAGCAGCAGTTGTTCGTGGCTGGGGAATGTATACTGTTGCCCTATTCATCACCATCACGGCTAAAAGTTTAAACGAAGGCTGTCCCTGTCATGCTATGCAAATATACATCAGCACTATTGGTCTTCAGGACCTGACAGACTTTTGACTGTTATTTTACGGTAGATTTTTTTTACAGTGTACGCGAACAGGCGGAAACCAGAACAAAACGTGAGCTAGTTTTATATGGTTGTAGCATATCAAGTCTATAAAGTAAAGTATAAAAGCCTATAAAGTAAATATTGGTAATCAAACAAATTCGTTTTGTCATTCAAAGTAGGTCTAATAAGATTTTTTTTTAATTTCACGTAACGCTGTCAAGTGAAATTTTATTTTAGAGGCGTGCTGCATCAACAGAAAAAAACTCAGGAACTTAAAACGTGCCTGTATATTCTTTAGGCTATTAAGCCCACTGATTCCTTTATTTTTAAGCCTATTTTTGTATGGAATGCCATTGCCAAACCTGTCCGTTGTTGCGTATAAGTTGCTTAAAATTATATTTCATAAATATTTTCTGTTCTGACTGGCAATGTTGCCGTTGCTCATATTTCTTTATGACATAAGGTTTCGGTTTAAGGTGACATTTGTTAGGCATGCAGATTATTTTAAATTGGAGCGATTTGACTGGAGCAGGAGGAAATTTTAGTGGAGCGAGGAGCGGTGTTGAGCCGAGCGGCTTAACGCGAATTAGAGCGAAGGAGCGGGCGGAGCCAACAGCCTCGTGAGCAAGGAGCGGAAATTCTCACCGCTCCACTCGTAAATAAGTGTCCGTATAGTACAGAAAAGCTGCCGCACTGCCAAATGTTGCGGCTGTCATCTGAAGCCCTGGTGATTATTGCGCATACGCGATTTAATCGCGATTTGATATCGCTCAGCCCTACCTCCCAGCGTAGACCCCTCACACAAAAAGGAATATGAGACATATTAACTCTGATGTCCCCCACCTATTACAGATAATCCTTCAGAGTTACAGACCGATAAGTACCACTACAGTACTAAAGGATAGGAGCCGCTTTGCATATACTAATTAACCCAGGCAACCCAAAGGATCACTAACAATTGCACAGTGTAATATTTGTGACATATCACCCTTGATCATTGTGGGTTTCTAAATATTAACCCTCTGGAATCTGAGGCCTCTCAGCCACTTTTGAGGTAGTCTGACATGCCTTGACATTTAACAGTAGATTTACTAAACCCTAAAACACATTTATCCCAAAGTGAATCAAATGCTTTTATTCAGCACAAACTCAGAACAAATAATCAGAGACCATTGAGAATGTCATTAATATATTTTTGTTTAAATCAACTGTAAACACTAAAAATACACTTTCCAAAAACCTAGTTTCAGTGGTGCTGTGACATTGTAAAACACACATTATAAATATTTCTGTCTGAACTCTGTAGCTTGTAAACATAGGTATTAGCTACACATAGTGTCTGGGACAAAGCCCATCTAACCCTGCCCTTTGTGTCTCTTCCCTGTTTGATCAGCAGGCATTATTGGTCATCCCTGTTTAATTGCCTTCATCTCCAGTAGCTCAATTGGCTGAGCATGCAGCTCAGAGGCTGTACTCTTTAGTCATGGGTTTGAGGCAGACTGGTGGACAGCCCCCTCTGTTGTTAAATATTTTTGCAGGGCTGGGCAATATCATATCGATATTATATTGCACATATGCAATAATCACCAGGGCTTCAGATGATAGGTAAAACATTTGGCCGGACACCAGCTTTTCTATATGAGTTATTTACGCCCACAATTTGGTAAGCAGTTCAGTAAGTAATACAGGTAAAACATTAAGGAGGCTGAACTTCCTTACATCAGTACATATTACACTGAAGTATACCAAACCATAGTATACCAGTACAATACAGTGGTGCCTGCAGTTCACAAATGCCGTGGTCTATAATCAATTTGATTTCCTACCAAAAATCTTATGAAAAAAATGCATTGCTTTAAATACAGAATTTTATTGACGTACAGATTTTTCAACCAGATTCCTTTTTTTGTACTAGTGTAGCACAAGCGGGGTGCATGTCCCAGCATGCCCCATGAGCAATTGTAAATAGAATGACCACAACAGGCACCCAACGAGTACTGAAACCAAACACACAGCTCGGAACACAAGGTTGTCAGACGTCAAACTGCAAGATGCACACATGGTGAAAGATTTACACACGATAAATATATGCGGGGATCGGACCGGGTACACACCAGACATGGGAAAACACATGCGCAACAATAAGGAAATGCAACCATTAACGTTAACAACAACAATACAAGGGCTTTAAGGACTGTTAATAAAGAGCATGATTTCTTCAACAAGCAAGTCTCCATGTCTCTCTCTGGTCCCGCGATGCCGCGGTCCGCCTGTTGCCACACTATTGTTTTTTTTAATATTGCCTTGGTTCGCGTACAAATTGGTTAGCAGAGCACATATGGTGTGCTTTGCTAACCGAATTTAATAAACACAAAGATATGCAAGTTTATACTGATTACAAACTTTTGGGCATCATAAAATGTCTCATTAATGCCTCGCTTCAGCAGTACTATTAAACTGGTGGAAGTCCGTATAGTACAGTAAAGCTGGCATCTGTGCATGAGTTGCCCTACTCCCTGACTGCCTGCTGATCCCTCCTTGCCTGCGTTAAGGCTGGCATACACTCCTATGTTGGCATCAGCACATGCAGTTCAGCATCTCGCCTTCTAAAATCCTCTAATGTGTCCTCATTTATGTCCAGCATCATGCATGGCAATGTTATGCAACATACAACATGCCAAGAATGCCACGACCTTCTGAGGGCTGTATTGTAATGTTCCACCTGACTTATCTAAAAATCTGAATTGCGTTTTCAGAAATCCATATGTACTTTCAATTACAGTGTCTGCTTAAGTCTGGTAATGAATTCAAAAGATTTTTGAATTATACAGTTCATTCTTTACCTAATTTATATGTTATTAAACAGTATGATTATGTGAAAGGACCAGATGTACTCTATAATAAAATGCATGTGAATGAAATAATATAAAATAAAAAACCAATAGTGCACTTCAAGTGCATACCTGTGTCCGTATTGAGTGTCGTGCACCTGCATGTTTGCAATATTCGGCACTTGCATACCGTTTAACAATGCACCACTGACTTTAGACGTGGTTTTTGTTGGTCAAAAGCGCAATGTAATTTTGTTGCCTTAAAATAGCAATGTGGCAACAATTCACATGGCCATGCCTCATTAAAAAAACACCGACTCCCACCTGCTCAGCCATCTACCAATGAGCCGGGCACAACCACCTGAGGGAGGAACTATAGCCTCCACACTCTGGCTGCCCTTAAGCAGCTTTTCCTAAATGTAACCCCTTTACCCCTAAAATAGACACTGCCCCTTTGGGGGTGTCCATTGCAACCTTGTCTCCTTACCCACCACAGGGGACTAACCTGGGCAAGATTAACCTTCACATCCAGAACCATGATCAGAACAGAGCTGGGAAACACCCCCACCTGACTGCTGAAGAGAATCACTGACACTTTTCTCAAGAAGAGAGTGTGCCATGTTCTGGCTGTGCAAAAACTGATAGCAAGTGAATATGTGCAAAAGGGGGGCTGATCTAGTGTTGTAATTCTCAAGACAACTTGCAGCTACTTTTCTTGGTCTTGTCTGGCAGTCAACTTTATTTTGTCTCTGTCTCAAACATAGAGAACTCATCAAGACCATTCATCACAACACCTCAATATTTGTCACAATAGTTTAGCATTCATTGCAATGTGTGCAAAGATATTCCAGAGTAATCCTATGCGCAACGAGGCATATATTTGAACAATTTTCCATGAAAAAAAAGTATTGCCTGCAAATTGTTATATTAGATGAGACTAAAAATTGAGAAATTTCAATAAGCGTAAGTAGTTTTCTCTCATAAGAAGGATGATATCAAGACTGTAAGCTCAGAATGCCCTAAAAACAAAACCATAAAGCATATGTGGCTAACTCATGTAGATACAATGTAATAAACCTTAAATCAAAGGGATAGAAAAACACTCAAAAATGGATAGGGTTCAAGGGGTTAACACAACATAACACAGCAAATTTGCCACTGTTAAATTAACACTGCATGGTGTTTATACAATTCTCACCAATCAGTGCTACATTTAAAACTTTACAGATTGCAATGAGTATTGTTGTATAGTGTTATATACTGCTCAAAAAAATTTAAGGAATACTTTGAAAACACATCAGATCTCAATGGGAGAAAAAAATCATAATGGATATCTATGCTGATATGGACTGAGTAATGTGTTAGGAATGAAAGGATGCCACATTGTTTGATGGAAATGAAAATTATCAACCTACAGAGGACTGAATTCAAAGACACCCCAAAAATCAATGATGCAGCAGGCTAGTCCATTTTGCCGAAATTCTCAAAAATCAAAAATCTTACTCAGTAGTTTGTGTGGTCCCCACATGCTTGTATGCATACCTGACATTGTCAGGGCATCCCCCTAATGAGACAACAGATGGTGTCCTGGGGGATCTCCATCCAGATCTGAACCAGGGCATCACTGAGCTCCTGGACAGTCTGAGGTGCAACCTGGCGGCATCAGATGGACCGAAACATAATGTCCCAGAGGTGTTCTATTGGATTTAGGTCAGGCGAGCATGGGGGCCAGTCAATGGTATCCATTCCTTCTCCTCCAAGAACTGCCTGCATATTCTCGCCACATGAAGCTGGGCATTGCCGTGCACCAGGAGGAACCCAGGACCCACCTAACCAGCGTAGGGTCTGACAATGGGTCCAAGGATTTCATTCTGATACCTAATGGCAGTCAAGGTGCTGTTGTCTCGCCTGTAGAGGTCTGTGCGTCCCTCCATGGATATGCCTCCCCAGACCATCACTGACCCCCCACCAAACCGGTCATGCTGAACAATGTTACAGGCAGCATAATGTTCTCCACAGCTTTTCCAGACCTTTTCACTTCTGTCACATGTGCTGAGGGTGAACCTGCTCTCATCTGTGAAAAGCACAGGGCACCAGTGGCAGACCTGCCAATTCTGGTATTCTATGGCAAATGCCCATCGAGCTCCACGGTCCTGGGCAGTGAGCACAGGGCCCACTAGAGGGTGTCGGGCCCTCAGGCCACCCTCATGAAGTCTGTTTCTGATTGTTTGCTCAGAGACATTCACACCAGTGGCCTGCTGGAGGTCATTCTGTAGGGCTCTGGCACTGCTCATCCTGTTCCTCCTTGCACAAATTAACCCTCTTTGGTGTTTATTGGGGTCCATACCATTCAGAGTTACCTTTAACACTTTAGAGTGTGCCTTGAGTGTTGAACTCTTATAATGTTCAATTTACAACATAGAGTGTTAAGACAAATTGCAAGCCCATATGGGTGGCACACAAGTACAAAATGGGTGGCCCATATCTGCTCTATTGTAATGTACTCTCATTTGAACTCATTTGGGCATTCAGCTGCTGTGTTTTACTAACCCACCATAATAAGAAAAACTCAGACCAACATAGCCTTTTCTCTTTTTAAGCAAGTTTTATTTTAGCTTAGCTACTGATCACTAAAGAATTGTGTTTATGTAAGTTGCAGAACATTGAAAAACTGTCACTATAAGGTATTTACATAAATGTATTTATTTACGCATGAATTCACCCCCGTGGCCTGCTGGAGGTCATTTTGTAGGGCTCTGGCAGTGCTCATTCTGTTCCTCCTTGCACAAAGGAGCAGATACCGGTCCTGCTGATGGGTTAAGGACCATCTATGGCCCTGTCCAGCTCTTCTAGAGTAACTGCCTGTCTCCTGGGATCTCCTCCATGCCCTTGAGACTGTGCTGGGAGACACAGCAAACCTTCTGGCAATGGTACGTATTGATGCGCCATCCTGGAGGAGTCAGACTACCTGTGCAACCTCTGTAGGCTCCAGGTATCGCTTCATGCTGCTAGTAGTGACACTGACCGTAGCCAAATGGAAAACTAGTGAAAAAACAGTCCGAAAAGATGAGGAGGGAAAAATGTCAGTGGCCCCCACCTGTTAAACCATTCCTGATTTGGGGGTCGTCTCATTGTTGCCCCTCTAGTACACCTGTTGTTAATTTCATTAACAACAAAGCAGCTGAAACTGATTAACAACCCCCTCTGCTACTTAACTAATGAGATGAATATCCAAGAAGTTAAGTTTACTTGATGCTATACTCTGATTAATAAGCGTTCCTTTAATTTTTTTGAGTAGTGTATTTTATTAGCTCTTATAGTGTTCAGTTGACACCACAGAGTGTTAGATCACAATAAAATTTAAAATTTTTTACAACAACACTCATTGCAATCTGTAAAGTGTTAAATGTAATAGTAGAAGTAATACTGACCTCAGTATTTCCACTTTACAGTGGGAATTCCCCAGTTCAGCAGAGAGTAGCGTCACTCCTGAATCCTGCAGGTCATTGTCACTCAGGTCCAGCTCTCTCAGGTGTGAGGAGTTTGATCTGAGAGCTGAAGCCAGCGACTCACAGCATTTCTCTGTGAGATTACAGCTGCCCAACCTGGAAAATAAAACATATCAAGACACAGACACATACACATCATACATCAGTAATGGCACTGATAGTAGTATTAAACAATATTTTATTTGAAATATAAAAAGCAGAGTAGCTTAGGATGAAGTACAGTGGACATCATTGACATAATTTTTAAAGCCATTTTAGTTTAAAAAAAAAAAAAAAAGGTTCCATGTTATTCATCAACGTTTTATGTCCCAGAAACAGAATGCTAAGGGCGTAACATAATAGGATTTTATGCTTTATTTCTGCCTCTGGAGTTCAGTAGTTGTATTTGGGTTAATAAGCTTTTGTGTTCGCTGCACCTGGGATGACAAACAGGATGAACTTCAATTCAGGCACTTCAGGTTCAGGTTCAGGTGGGGAAGCATGCGCTGATGCAGCACATTGCTGCACCCCCCACCTGGTGACACTCCTCGGGATCCCATCCGTCGACCCCCCAGGCAGATACATGGTCCAGTCCCATATTCCAGAAGTGGCCATCCATCTGCTGCAGCCAGGTGTTACATGGGCATTTCCTAGGCATGGTCCAGCCGTTTGGGTCCTCAGCAATGAGGATCTTGCAAGCTGGATCACCCTCAGGGAAACGCACCACATGGCCGTAGTGCTGTAATTCACACTTCCTCCCAATGCAGGGAATGTGCCTCATTCGGGACTTCCCTAGCAACTGCTGAAAATCGCTGCTGAGGTAGGTGAATCTCTTGACAAGGATGACATTCCCCCTGCAGACAGGTACACCACGGATAGTTGTACCTAAGAATTCATTAAATGCCTGGATCTTGGTATTTATTCAGGACACCCGCAATCCCAGTCTGAACTTCTCGTTCAGTCTCTTGAGAGCCTCCAAACAGAGTCTCCATTGACAAGATCACCGCATCGTCGGCAAAGTCAAGAACAGTAAATCTTTCTTCACCAACAGACACACCATAGCCGCTGGACCCCACGACCCTGCCCAACACCCAGTCCATACAGGCAATGAACAGAGTAGGAGCAAGAACACACCCCTGGCAAACCCCATAATCAACTGAGAAGAACGCAAAGGTTCTCTCTCCACAACATTCACAGATGGTGTGTCACCTGCTCACAGATTTATCTAACAAACACCTCCTTATCTGCCCGCAGAGCCATCACAGCCATCCGTCTCAGTACCCAGTACAGACTGGAGGTACCACCAAGTCATGCACTGCGACTTCTCTCAATAATATCCAGGGTGCCCTGCGAGATGAAACACCTCCTTCTGGGAAAACTGGCAACACCAACACAACCCTCGGCAACCTTCAGGGTCTCATCACGGAAGGTCTCCCACATCACATTACAGTCAGCAGTCGCACCCAAATCTGAAAGTTCCTCACACAAACTGCACAAACTCATCAGAAACAGCCTGATCTTGGAGTCTGGCTAAGTCCAGCCTCATTTTAGTACACAGCAAATGTGCCAGTGTTAAATTAACCCTCTTTGGTGTTTATTGGGGTCCATACCATTCAGAGTTACCTTTAACACTTTATAGTGTGCCTTGAGTGTTGAACTCTTATAATGTTCAATTTACAACATAGAGTGTTAAGACAAATTGCAAGCCCATATGGGTGGCACACAAGTACAAAATGGGTGG